AGTCAAAGCACCAATGTGGGAATGCACTGGAAACTTAGAGGATGACTTGCCTCTTTTAATCTGTCCCTTCACTTCGGAATCCTCTTCTCAACAAGGAACACTCTCACCAGCTCCAACTTAGCCTCATGGGCAATGTTATCCCACTATTCTGAATCCCAAAAGGACCTGAGCATGCTATTATGAGTTGTCTCTCTAAAAGGGGAGGCAATTTTTCCCAAGCCCTCCGTGTCTTTTTACTTTATCATCATGGTGGCCAGCAATGTGTGTTTATGAGAAGCCAGTCTAAGCAGCGCCCACTGCCAGGGACCATCTGTACTTCACAGGGGTTGAACCCACAATCACGGCCTCTTTGGAGCTGACCAGCAGGCCTAGTTCTAAGATCTGCATCTGGCTCTCTGCTTTGCACACATCCTTTTGTCTGTGCTCCAAAGCCTGATGGCTGAAGCTTCTGGAATGCCCCAGGCACTGCTGAATCAGATGTTTTTCAGTTTCAATGATTCACAAATCCCAATTTGCAAAACTTTCTCAAGATAACTATTTTTTTGGAGCCCTTTTTCTCCAGCTGCCTCCAAAATGAACTGTTCCCCACCCTCAGTTGCAGCTGACAGTGAGTGTTCCTCTGGAAGTCTGATCTGGGGTCATGACATGTCACCGCCCTGCTCTGGGCTTTGAAGACACGGCAATGCTGTGCTTTTTGTGTGATGGAAGTTGCTGTTGCAGCGTCTGACCCCAGGGAGGTCCACACAGCCCAGTCTGGCATCCTGTGTTTCCATATGGCTCCAAGCAGTTGCTTTGAGCTCTCAGCCCCATAGAAGCAGAGTCTTCTGAGGCACACCAGCACAGGAAAGAGCATGTGGAGCCCTGTTGGGGGGTGCGTGTGAACACACAGCTTGGGTCAGAAGACACCCAGCCACTGAAGTCCTACTGTCCCCTCTACCGAGTTCTGAGCCACAGCAGGTGCTCAGGATGGAGACTCACTCCCTCAACCCACGCCACCCTAGAGGAGTGAAGAAATCTGAATCAATTGTATTAATGCCATTTACTGAGACTGGACCTTCTAGAACCTGACACTAATGGGATATTGGTGGACAGTTGCTCTCCTCTCCATGTTTGTTTGCAGAGTGCATTGACTTGGGCCAGTGTCTTCATTCCTGATGGTTTTCTGTTTAGCTCCTGCAGAAAAGGTTGTTTCCGTGAACAGGGATGTCTATGGGATTGGGCATTATGATCAAGGAGCCTGACTTGAAGAGGGATCATCCCAGGGGCCCAATAGATCTTGGGCCTGGAAGCCAGTCACCTGGGTCTGTACTTGAATCCAGCTCCACATTTAATAGTTGGGTGACTCCGGCAAGTTACTGCAACGTTTCCAACACTCAGTTTCCTCATCTGTGAAAATGGAGCTAAGGGACCATGAGGAGCATTAAAAGAGATGATGTATGTAAAGAGTAGGCACACTGCCTGCAGCTCAGTAAGCTCTTGATTAATGTTAACAACAGTGATTTTTCTTAGCACTGGGACCTAAGCTAGGTAGGAAGCAGACATAAGCTATGACAGAGACATTGTTATGTCTTCATCTGATTCCACTTGATTTTCCACTTTTTACGTACTATCGACTTGCAGACTATCCAGGAAGTTAGGTTGGGGTCAAGTGACTGAGTTCTGGCCATGGGATGCAGGCATAAATGATATACACCACCTCCAGGCCTGATCCTTACAAGGTCCTGGCTTGTGCTCTCTCTCTCATTTGCACAGCTAGAAATGAAGAACCCCAGGAAGGCAGAACCACAGGATGGAAGAAGCTCAGATCCCCGAGTGTCTGTGTGGAGATGGCATGACAGCGAGAGCTGCCCAACCTGTATTGGACGTGGTGAGAATAAGAAATAATTATTGATTATATAAAGCCACTGACATTTCAGGGATTACTTGTTACTTTAGCATAACATAACCTATCCAGACTAATTTATGAAAACTAGCACAGGGAGTGGACAGGGGAACCAGCTGGTCAAGACACAAGGGATATTCCTAGTCAGGTAGAAACAGGCAGCGTAAATTTTCCATCAATAGGAAAATAATTGTCACAATTGTAAAACAAAGTTGATTGCTAATTTTCCACACAATTCCCTGCTGGAACCAGACGGTTGTGAAAGCATGGGGCAGGTTTTGTGACATGAAAACCTTAGTCTGCACTTTCTGGTCCTCACAGAGCATCACTGCTGCTCTACTTCCAAGCCCCAAACTTTGCATGATTCTTTGGATTAAAAAATCCTCTCCTTAAATTGCAATGAATTTCTGCGGTGGAAAAATATTCTTGTTTAAAATTGCAAATCATGGTATGTACCTATCTGGGGACCACCTGTTGAAGTAAGCAGCCATTTGTAATTAAGGGCACACAAAGTCATAAATGATCACACAAGTCCGTGTTAAAATGTGGCCATACGTGGTTTAACAAAACACCACACTCCCTGGACCATGGTGGTCCTATTCCAATGGACCAGAAATTAACCTTGTAAAATCAACCTCTATTTTCAAGACCCCAGGGCCTTTGCATATACTGTTCCCTCTACCTGGAATGCTCACTCTTCATAAAGTTAGTTCTTCGTCTTCAGGCCTCTACCCAAAGGTCACCTCTTCAGAGATGACTTCCCTGACTACTCTTCCTACAGGAGGTACCCCCCTCCCTTAATGCTCTATCTCTATACCCTATCCATTTCCTTCATAGCACTTGTTACAATCTGTACTTTTGGGGAGGCTTATTTGTTTACTTGTTTATTACCTATTTCTCCCACTAAGTAACGGTGACATCTACCCCATCTCTAGAATTCCACATATATGAGCTAATAAATTCCCTGGAGGGTTTAAACCAGTTTCATCTGGATTTTATGATATTATAGCTGATTTTACAGCTAAAATCTTCCTAACAAATATATCTCCTGTCTACAGTGTTATACTGTTGTTTTCCCTGATGTTATCAGTATAAATTAAAAATCTTCTATGCGTCAGACCCTGCACTAGGTACTTTATTTCATTTAATCGTCACCATAACTCTGAAAGTTAGGAATTATTTAAAGCTATTTTATAGATGAGGAAATTGAGGCCCAAAAGATGTAACCAACATGGGTTGATTTTTGTCAGCGCTGCATCCCTTCCTTTGAGGGAGCTGTCCTCCCCCACTCTGTGTGATTCTGAAGGAGCTGTCATTCAAGCTTACCAAAAGGGTGGGCACATGATCTGGGCAGGCCAATCAGAGCATCTCTTCACCTGGACTCTGTGACTGGGCCAGAGGGAGACATGTGACCTCAGCAAAGCCCATCACAGTCCTCCCTTGGCACATAAATGCTAGGAAAGTAAGAATCTCCCTCTGACTCTAGGATCACACACTAAGAGGACCTTATAACCCCACTACTCCCAGGAGCTATCTTGCTGCCATGTAGAGCAAGTCTGCCTAATAATGAAGCCCACATCCAGTGAGAGTGAGTGAAGAGGAGGCCAATGACATGCTTGAACCCCTGGATCCAGCTGTGCCTGAGACATACGCCTTGGACTTCTCAGTTACAGGAAGCAGTAAATTCATCTTGTTACTTAACATGGTCTAAGTTGGGTTTCTGCCACTTTCCGCTGAATAAGGATGAAGTAACTCAATAAATGTAAGTTCTCTCAGTTTTCTCCCTTAAAGTGACCACTCCCCATTAACCTCACAGACCTTTCAGTTCACATGTCAACTGTGCCAATCCAGCCACCCTTACTTCCTCCCTACCCCTTATAGGTCACATTTGGTCCAGCCTCTAGGCCATGCACATGCTATTCCCTGTCTCTGGCTGCAGAATTATGTCTTTCCAAAGAGGTTTACTTTTAAGTAAAGTTCCCCTTAGTCTTTTACCCTGCAAATAACTGACAGGCCCATTTGTTAATAGTGGCGGCAAGAATTAAGAGCCTCCAGTCCAGGTAGATTGCCTTAAAAATGTCCTATTTTAAAAGTCAGTGAATATTGCCCTGTTTCATCAGATTAGGTTCCAGATAAAATTCATGATGCCCAGTTACATTTGAATTTCAGATAAATATTTTTCTTAGTATAAGCATGACCCAAATATTGCACGGGACACACTTATACTAAAAAATTATCCATTGTTTAACTGAGTGTCCTGTAGTTTTATTTGCTAAATTTGACAACGCTACATCAGATGTCCTCCCAGGAGACCATAAGGGGTGAAAGTTGTAATTTCTTTGGGAAGTCAGACTTCTCTCGCATGGATCCCCTAACACCACTATTCGGTGCAGAGCATGACTCTCTAATGTTTGATACTACGTTGGGGTTTAATGTCATTTGATATTGTGACCAGGATCCAGGAACTCCTCAGTCTTACCCTATTGTTCATCCTCTTTCCAAGAGCTTCCTGGAGGGTCTGTTCACACAAGGAACAATGGCAAAATGGGACTCTGCCATTTTATTATAGGCAGAGCAGTTGCCTTCCCCAGCAGGAAATTGGCCCATTGGTCTTGGACTCTGAGCAATCGGATGAGCCATTTGTCTGCTGTGGGACAGAGAAAAGTGCCAAGAAAGGGGGCAGGCAGAGGAAGGGAAGCATGGGGGGAGCACAGCTGAGTGTTAATCTTTGATGGTGTCTCTACTCCAGAGTGAAGGAACCGGGTCAGAAGTCTCTTTTGGAAACCAGAACTAAGAACATGTAAAGTTGGAAGCTATGGAATAAGCTAAGGTGGTGACAAAATCGGGGAGGAGAAAGCTAGGCTACAAAAGGAGGGGAAAAGCAAAGCTGGCCTGAAAAGAGGAGCAGAAAAGAGGGCCCTTAGTTCTCTTGGATCCCACTTCTCCAGTTCCTGGTTCCAGCTGCACCACCAGCTGCATTTCTTCTTCTGAGAACTTGGAATAAATTCCCCTTGTGTGCTTAAGCTAGCTTGGGTGGGTTTCTGGTACTTATACCCATTCTGTCACTTTGTTAACTAAGAGAAAAACAACCAAATAAAAAGGCAAGGTCCCACTTGAGTTCAGTTCATTGCAATTTATTTAATTTAAAAATAAAAACAGAAACAAAAAAAAAAACAAAAAACAAAACAAAAATCAGTTTCCAATGAAAATACAAACACTTTGGGTGGTTATCTAGCTTTTTTTTTTTTTTCCCTGTAGGCTGTTCTGGGCTCAAACCAATCAAATGAGTGAAAACCAATGTTTACTGGAGCCATAAAGCATGTTGCACCAATTAAATTACACCAATATATTATTATAATACCTTTGAAATGCCTTTCAGACCAATAAATAAAAAAAGACAAATTCAAATAAAAAAAAAGTCAACTTTTTATTACCAAAAAAAAAAAAAAATAGAAATTAAATAAAAGTCACAACATGGATTTTTTAAAAAAAAATGTGCAGTCAAGTTTCTCTCTCTTTTTTTTTTTTTCATCTAGGAATGATACCATCCAGTAAGTCCCTACAGAACATTTCCAGTTTGGCAATAAGCAGTCAGTCGATCATTCACATTTGTACTCAAGACAGCAGGCCTGGGCAACACATACCTGAATTTCCCCCTGAAAAGTGGCCCCCATCATCTGAAGAAGCAGCACCTTATCACAGGGATGGAAATTCAGAGAGTACTTAGCATTTTTCGTTTCGCCTGGGGTCTTGAAGCACTTCCTGAAAACTGATCATGCCTTGAAATTTACCTGTAAAAAGAAGTATAATTCTACTCCTTTGGCAGACGTGTAAACTAAGACACCGAGAGGCCCACAGAGGCAAGGAGAGGACCAGGAGAGCTGACATCGAATCTCCCATTTGGTCCACCAGGTCATAAAAGTGTCTTTCCCTTGTAATTCCATGGAAATGAATCAAGCATGACTTCCTCGGCTGGGGATTGGCTGGTCGGGACGACAGGACTTAATTAGGAAGAGCGAAGCTGCTTTTTAGGGCTTTTCCCTCTATTTCCAAGTTTTTCCTTGAAAGGACAGTCGACATCACATCTAGAATCAGAGGATGCTGGCAGAATGTCAGAAGTAGGCGGGGCCTGAGAGACCAGCTAATCCACCCCTCCAGCCCTCACTGAAGGGGAACACTTAGCCCTCAAAACACTGCAGTGCGTAAGGCCGCCAGCTAGTTAGCAGCATAGCAGGACTCAACTCAGAATCTCTGCCTGAGTGGAGGACTGTCTGCCACAATCCACTGAGTGGGTTTATTGACAAAAGAGAACACACACGTGGGGTTTTTTTAGGGAGGGGGATTATTTTCCTTAATAGTGTCATTTTTTACTTAACGATTAGAAGGATGGAAAACACTAAACAGACGTAATCACTTGGCAACAGGAAAAAACACATCAACCAGTAGGTAGGTGTTCTACCTAAGTCACACTGACAGCTACCCACAAGGCCAGCTGCCATGCAAGAGGGGCCAGCAGTGTGGCAGTAGAGGCTGTTCAGAAAAGGTTGCATAAAATGAGTTAAGGAGCAGGGAGCTCAGAGGTTGCAGAATGCCATCCAGGCACCCACACACCCCACACACACAATTTGCTATTTATAGATTTTTTTTTTTCCCTTTGAACCTATACTGGAGTTCAGGAAAGAGGGGGAATTAAAGAAAGGAAAATAGGAGGCTTCCCATAATACATTACTCAACTCAACCCGAAGGAATGCACAAGCCAAAACCCTAGAGTTGGTGGGAAGGGGAGAAATGGAGCCATCTTCTTGGGGCAAGGTCAGCTTCATTCAACTTAATGTTCTTAGTGCCTTAAGGTGAATTCTTTCTCATCTCCCTATGAACTATTGTCTGTTGGTTTTCCCCAAAACACTCCCAAGACTGGTCCTTCTTATGCATCTAGGTGGCTATCGCAAGTCAGCCATCTTGAAACAAGGGTTTTGATTTGCCCAGGGCAGTAGAATCTGAAGTCATCCCAGATTCCCAAATAAGACTATTTGGATTTCAAACCCAGTATCTGAAGATGCCCCTTTGTCTTGTGACGTGGAAGTGACATCTTGTCACCTGTAATCTGGGTGTCTAGAAGTTAAAGACCTAGCTTTGCTACTTTTTAAGATGAGTCCTGTCATACCTCTTTTCTGCCTCCTCCAGAATCATTTCGATGACTTCTAAGAAAATGTTCCCTCTCCTCTATGCTTCTCCCAACCCACTCTACTCTTTCAACACCTTATTCACCTGAATGGATGGAACTTTCTTTTCCCCCAAAGCCTAGGAGTTCAAAACCATGACATAGAATACCTATATTTGTGGGGAAAGTACCTTCTGCCTGACTTCCCTGTCCTCATCCAAATACCCAACCTACACACTAACTCCCTAAAAGCAAACTCGCCTACCTCTGAGGATTCTACACTTGGTGAATGGGGAAACCTTTTGCTATCAATAAACAGGGCAAATGGCTGAGCCAGCCACTCTTTTGAAGACTATGGACAGTATCACATCCAATTCAAAGCATTCATGCAGGTGAGAACACAGGAGGCAGCATTCCAATTAAGATTGAGACATTAAAGAAATTGGCAAGTTGTCCCTTGCTGGTGTGGATCAACTTCCATTCATCTGCACAAAGACCACAGAGGGTCCTGAGCTCTGTTATATACCATAGTTTTGACCTCTGACACCACCATCTTTTTCCGTGTCCACCCTTGGGAGGTTACGCTGAAGAGCAAGGCAGACATGAGGAAAGAAGAGGTGGAGAGCAAGGAGCCAAAAAAATCATCATGGGCTGACTCTATGTCCTTAGCAGAATTCAGAGCATTCTCTCTCTGACCAAGGCTCTTCCTTCCATTCAAGGTGGAGTAGCAAATTAACAAATGCCATGCCAGAGACATGCAAGAGTTAACATAGATCCCACAGGATGCCTTAACCTAACTCCCAGGGCTTAGCTAGGTCAAGGATGGCAACTACATGGCATGAGTGCTACTGCCCCACTTCCCATCCCCATGGCAGCCATTACTATTCAATCACAGCACGCCTTCCCCAGGTGCCTGGGCTACTCAAACTAGCACATCCAGCAGCCACTATCAATCAATCGCCGATTCAAGATCAGGTTGCTGAAATCTATTTGCTAGCCCCATGCACTCAGACCAAGCTCGCTACTGCAAGGAGAGAAGGAGCCAGCTCTTTGAGCTCACCCAAAGCAGATGGCCCCAGTCTCTCCTGACCTTCCTCCAGAAGCATTTGGATGCTTCTAGGGAAATGCTTCCTCTCCCACATGCTTCCTCCCCACCCTCTAAGTGCTGGCCAACACCACCTCCCAGAGACAGCTGGTCCTCTAGGAGGTGCCATAAAGCAAATGCCAATTAGGACCCAAATTCTGCCTGGCAGTTGGCAGGACTGGCAGAGAGCCCACTTCTCCCTTTTAGGTGCTGGCTCAAGGCTGCAAACCTGGCCAAGCAAGACGGCAGCACCAATCCTTTTACAGTCTCTTGTCATGGCCAGCGAAGAGGTAACCAGCTCATCAGCGCAAGTCATTGCTCCCCTTCCTCCCTCGTACCCACCCCCACCCCGCCCTGCACCCTGGGGGAGCTAGTTGAGCTTGTTGCAGATCTCCAGCGCTTTCTTGTAGACCTGAGTCACGTCATCCATGTCCGCGAGGAGGGAGAAGCTGCTGTCTCCCAGCCGGTTCCGGTACCGCTTTAGGTACTGGGGCCGGGGTCGGTTCTGGAGCCCCTCAAAGTCCTGGATCTGAAGGAAGTTTTCGGCAGAGACGCAGCTGCGGATGCGCTGGCGGGCGGGGCGATTCTCCTGCAAATCCAGCAAGTCGAAGGAGTCGCTGGACAGGACGCTGTCGTCGCTGATGACGCTGGAAGGCCGGCTGTAGCTCCGGGAAAGGCCCTCGGCGGGGACGCCGGGCTCCAGCAAGGATTCCAGTGTGGGCATTTCGGGGCTTGCGAGGGCCGGGTCCATGGCGCCTGCTGAGTACTTGCTGCTGTGTTTCAAGATGCCCTTCCTGCGGCAGGAGAGGCTGTGGGAAGCCACCCTGTCTGGGTCCGGGGGACTGGGGGAGGGGATGCTGCTGCCCATCCCATCGTTACTGTCCAACAGCTCCGAAGACTCGCTGCGCTCTGGGGAGGAGTAGTAACCCGATTCTCTCTGCTGGGTCTTTTTCAAGATGCCTTTCTTGGGCATCGTGGCTGACTGTTTGGGGCTGAGTTTACCTGGCACCTCTGCCTCGGGGGAGCTTGGGAGGGGCACGCCAGTCCGGCACAAGTCCTGCTCCATCTTGAAAGCAGAGGGTAAGGCAGGACTGACCACACCTTCGATGAAGCCAGTGCTGTGAGAGCGATGCTCACTGTTGCTTCGCTTCTTCAGGATCCCTTTGGGCCTCTTAGAACTCAGCTTGGATGGGCTTTCGGGCACCGAGTCCTGGCCGGACTGGGCAAAGTCATTCTCTTTCTTGGACTTCTTCAGCGACCGCTGCCGCTCCAGCATGACCTCAGAGGCCCCGGGTTTAGCCAGGCCCTTAATTTTGGCTTCAGCCTCAGCCTGCAGCCCCGTGGAACGGTGGTGCCAATCAATAATGCGAGCCAAGAGCGGGGACTCGGAGTTGTGAAGGGCATCGCAGTCGCAGACGCTGCTCTTGTAGCCCCAGTTCACCCACCAGTGGTTGGCTATGTCCTCGATGGTGGCCCGGCGATCCGGGTTCACCATCAGCATCCACCGAATGAGTCCTCGAGCATCTGTGGGTCAAGAAACAAGAAGAACGATGCATTACACGGGAGCTTTTGGCTTTGCGAGAGGCCTGACCCTCCAGGAGTGGCTAAGGAGACAGGCTCACTTCAAGAAAACTCCACCTGGAACCTTCGTCCAGCCACACTATAGAGTAGGAGGCCAAAGTCTTCCAGACTGTACATGAAAAGCATCGTCAAGGCTCTGAACCACAGGCCAGTGCGCTGTCACATCCTGGCACGTTTTTCCAGATGAGCGAAGGGAAGTCATGAGCTACTGAACTTTCCATCAACTCAGATCTTTAAAAATGGGGAAGGCCAGGTAACTGGGAAAGAATCCAGAAAGAATCCAGACCCAACCCCGAGCAAGGCCCCACCATTCCTTTGGTGGATATCATTTTACCAAAAGGGAAAACAGGTGTAGATCACCCTGGATTTCTTTAGTCCCTCAAACGTAAGCTTGTATAAACACGCAGTGCTCAGGGTCACCGGGAAGGTACGTAGGCATGAAAAGGAAATTTGGGGCTGAGACGGAGAGAAAAAAGCCTCCTCATCAGAGAGGGAAAGACAGAGAAGGATGGAGAGAAGCTCGTACCTGGCACACCTGGGCATGAGAGGGGCTGTGCCCAAGGCTGGCCTGACCCCCAGCCTTGGCCGGGCTCTGAGACCCACACCCAGTGAGCTCACGTCTTTCCTCTTTCTGACATAAGCCGTAGCCGACCGAGCTGTCAGATCAGAGGGCTGATCTATATCTGCTATCCGTTTACAGTCTCTCTGAAAAATTCCATTTGCAAATTTCTGCTGCCAGAGAATTAGGGGAAAGCCCCAAAGGGATGTTGAGGAGGCCACAGGAACCAACTGACTCTCATAGCTTATAAATTGACTTTCAAGATCAAACTGTGCTCCCCCAATGGGGGTTGAATTATATCCTGGGAAGGCACCACCTCCCCTCAGCTGCTTATGGAGGCTAATGAGTAGCCGGCAAGGCCTGGCAATGGGGCCGGGAGTGAGGTGTACCCCTGAAAGTAACAGGATGATCATTCATTCAGTCATTCAATAAATATTTTCTGAACCCTTGTCATGTGCCAGGAATTGTGCTGGCACCAATTAGCTGGTGAGGCAAATAAGACCCCCATAGAGGTCACCCTGAAATTTCTCCAAAGAAAGGGTTGACTTATTGAAAAAATATAGAGATATGCATATCTACATATATATATACACACATGAAACAGTCAGTCCTCACTATTCACAGATTCTATACTTGCAAATTCACCTACTCACTAAAATTTATTTGTAGCCCCAAAACCAATATTCGAGGTGCTTTCCTGGTCATTTGATGATCTTCATAGAGTGGCAAAAAATCTGAGTTGCCCCCAATGCATAGGTGTGTCACTGGGTGAGGTCAAACAAGACAAGGACACTCTGCTGTCTTATTTCTGCTCTCAGACTAACAAGTGTCCTTTTCACAGCCTATTTAATCCATGTTTTTCATATTTTTTGTACTTTTTGTGGTTGAATTCGCTGTTTAAAATGGCCCCAAGAGGGGCTGGCCCGATGGTTAAGTGTGTGCGCTCTGCTGCGGCGGCCCAGGGTTCGCCGGTTCGGATCCCGGGCGCGCACCGACGCACCAGTTGTCAAGCCATGCTGTGGCGGTGTCCCATATAAAGTAGAGGAAGATGGGCATGATGTTAGCCCAGGGCCAGTCTTCCTCAGCAAAAAGAGGAGGATAGGCAGATGTTAGCTCAGGGCCGATCTTCCTCACAAACATAAATAAATAAATAAATAAAATGGCCCCAAGCATAGTGCAGAAGTGTTGTCTTGAGTTCCTGAATGCAAGAAGGCTGTCATGTGCCTCAGGGAGAAAGTAAGTGTGTTAGGTAAGCTTTGTTCAGGCGTGAGTTACAGTGCCGTTGGTTGTGAGTTTGATGTTAATGAATCAACAATATATTTTAAATGAGGTGCTTTAAACAGAAACATACATAAAACAAGGTTGTGTACTGATCAGTTAACAAAAGTATTGTCACCAGAGGCTCATAGGAATTGAGCCCTGTATTTCCACTAGGAGCAATCGTTCAGGATTCACCAGCTTAGAGTTCGTAGCAACTTTATAGAACATAACTACCATGAATAATGAGAATCAATTATGTGTATGTGTGTGTGCACAGTATGTACACATATGAAGTGTCTGTGTCAACTACATTCCAAACACAGCCACCTGTACACACCCTTTCCACACGTGATGCACTCCTATCAAGAGATGGAGCTTATGGCCTCGGCTGCTTTGACCAATAGAACATGGCAGAAGTGACGTTATCTGGCTTCCAAGCACAGACATTAAGACGGCCTGGCAGCTTCTTCTTTCTCCATCTCTGAGCTGCCATGTAAGAAGTCCAGGCTCCCTCCTGCAGAGAGAAACCTGGGAAGGTTCCTCATAGAACATGATTGTCCCACGATCAGCCCCAGCCCAGCTGCCATCTGATTCCAACTGTAGGAGAAACCACTGAGTTTGTTCTACGGGGGGATGTGAGCATCTGTTGCTTATGAGCAACAGATAATGAAACAGTGCCCATGTGCCATACCCCCTGCCAGGGGCACAGGAGTGAAAAAGAGCAGCTGCCACCCTCATGGCACTTACAGTCCAGTGAAGGTGGTTTATATGTCTACATGGACTAGAAGAGACTTCATGTAATACCTTTTCCAAAATTTTAACTTACAGTGAGAAACTGAATCCAAACAGGGTAAGGGACTTGCCCAAGTTCACACAGCAAGCAAACAGGACTCCTAGCCTACCTGCCGTGTAGAACATTTGTGCTGAAAATTCCATTTGGGAAAGTCTGGGCAAAGCAGACCTCCAAGCCAGCTTTGCCAGAAGGCAAAGATCTGGAGAGAAGATGGAGGGAAAGCAACAGACCTCTTACAGACATTAAAACAGAAGCAAGTGTGAGCTGGGGCAGGTACACCGAACAGTCCCGCCCAACCTCTGCCCCTCCGCGGGCACGCACCTGAGGGCTGCGTGGGCTCCCGGTACTCTCCGCTGCTGATCTGCCGAATGAGGTTTTTGTGATCGAAACCATCAAAGGGCATTGTTCCATAAACGAGAGTGTAAAGCAACACGCCCAGGGCCCAGCTGTCCACCTGGAGCAGAGAGATGGGATGCTTAGGAGCCGGGAAGTAGATTCCAGGATGCCTTCCAAACCCTGAGCATCATAGCCTGTGAGCAGCCAACCCCAACGACCCCAGGAACTGAATTTAGCACCTGGCAGACAGGTTCCCACTGCAGCCTGACAAGTGATATGCAGGGCAGCTGGGGCCTGCTTCAGAGCCTGACCTTTCTATTTCAAACAGAGGCCAACAGTCCCAATCTAGATAAGAACGTTCTTAAATAGATTATCTTCTTTGATCCTCAATATAGTTTTGTGAAACAGGTAGGGCCTGGATTATTTTCAATCCCATTTGACAGATGAGAATACTGAGGCACAAGGAAGCTAAATGGTTTCTCCAGAGCCTCATCCCAGTGATGGAGAGAAGACTAGGACACAGGGCCCTTCGTTCCTAATCCAGAAATCAAGTCCTTCCTGCACCTTCTTCAAATGAGTCAGGGGCTGCAAACTCAAATGCTTACAAGAGCCAGGCAGACAGCAAACACGAACAAAGCAAGAGAGAATCTGGGGTACAACATGGAGTGTTGAGGACGGAGACAAACTGTAGAGTGCATTCACCCATCTTAAGCAGGCAGCCTCCTCTTTGCTAGTTGCTGCAATCCCAATATAGGCCCAGCACTGCTAGATCCTTTGGTTTTTCAAGAAAAGTCAGAAACCAGACTTTCATGTGAAATATCCCAATTATTAGATGTTTGTTCCATTTTTTTTTTTAGAAAGACTAATGTGGCCAAATAAAGCATGCTTGCTGGCCAGATCACAGGCTGCCAGCTTGTAACCTCGGAAACAGATCGTGGAAGATCAAAGAAGCATTCATTATCAATGATAAATGTACAGTGTCGAGTTTCTACAATTTTGTAAATCGAATCCTATGCTCCTCCCTTACATTCTTACTTTAGGAAGACTTTCTCTTCACTGTAATTGGTTGAGGCTGTTGGCATCCGTCTCTTCACCCTCCAGGCCAGCCCCCAAACACTCTCAAACAGATAAATATTTGGAAGAAAACATTTCAACCCACTGAGCAGCTGCTATTTAAAGGATACCGAGTGGATGAATCTCTCTGTAAGAGAACCATCTTTTTAAAAGAGAATAATCACTCACAACTCATCCATTTTCCAAATAACGTTTTTACATACACATCTTTTACAGTGGCCCTGGAAGCTTTAAGCATATAGAAAAATGCATCTTTCATGAATTAGAAGATGCAATTAAAATGTACTTCCTTAATCAAAAGTGCATGTTGTCAAAAATATATGCAAAAAGGTATTCACTGCAGAATTAGGGGGTTTTTGTTTGTTTTTGTTTTGTCTGTTTTGTTCAATAGGGAAAAACTGAAAACAATCTGACTGTCTAAATCTAGGGAAGTGATTAAATAAATGATGGTACATTCATACAATAAAATATTATGTTGTCATTAAAAACCATGTTTTTAATAATAATGAATTCAGAAAATGCCACAATATAATTTAAAGTTAATAAAAGGCAAGATATACATATGCATATACATATATAATAATCTCAATTATTTTTGAAATGCAAAGATCTACACTGGAAAAAAGTCTAAAAGAAAAGTCACAAAAATATTAAGTGGTATTCTCTTGTGGGGAGATTGCAGGTAACTTTATTTTCTGGATTTTTCAAATTTTCTCCCAGGTGTGTATATTATGGCTTTTATAATTATATAAGGAAAAGTTTTCTTTGTTTGCTTGCTTGTTGGTTTTTTTTTTTAAGTATTTCCTAGATTCAATTCTTGCCCTTCCCCATTTTCCTCCCCTCACCACCCCCCACCCCCCATACACACCAGGCAACCTGCTCACCTCTGGCCCTCGGTAAGGCCTCCCATTGACAATTTCAGGAGATGCGTAGAGGGGGCTCCCACAAAATGTTTGCAAGAACTTGTCCTTCTGGTACAGGTTGGAAAGCCCAAAGTCAGCAATCTACAAAGAGAAGCAAGACCCAGGGAAGCTTGTTAGCGTCCAGTAAGTGTCTGCACTGGATCAACTCTGACCACACAGCACGAGAGCACCGGAGGGTCTGCCCGCTGGGTCACCATTTTCTCTCCAGTCCTGAGCCTTCATGAAAGGGCCAGTCAACACCCTGGGCCAGTGATGCCCACCTGCAGTCCACAGCATCCACCACACGTTCTGCCGTACCTGCAGACTTCATGCTCTATGACGCACTCAACATTACTCCCTACGTGGACTCTCTATTTTCACTCAGTTTATACTTGCCCTGAGAAGTAGCCACAAAACCAGAGGCTTGATGTTTCTGATGAACATTAAAGTGCATAACTATTCATCTGAAAATTAGCCATCTGGGGCCTACCTAAAATTCTGTTACATCCATGGTGGTGTGCATATCACACTTTGGAAAACCCTGACCTGGGCAACTGACACCACCACCGTTTTAGCCACCCACACTCTGATCAGAACTATACTTTGCCTGCCTTGTGACCCTAGAGGAAATGGGCCCAGAGCACTGGGTTTTGAGTCATCCTTTTTCAGTCCAAACTCTGCCACTAGCCATCTGTGTGACTTGGAGCAAGTCACTTAGCTACTCTCAGTTTTCCCACCAGAAAATGGGATCCCAGGATCTCTATCCTGTTCTAGATCACAGGATGATTGTGAGAAGAAAAAAGAAAATCACTCAATCAAGATGAGACTATGAATGCAACAGTGCTTTATAATCTTAAGTCTCAGGTTCCATGCAAATGTTTTACCTAACCTTGCTTCTCTTGTATTGCACACACCTTAAAGTCATTCTCTTCTCCTTTGGTTTCTAGAAGTGTTTTATTTATTATCCGTGATGGCAGCACTCTTCCCTGTATATACACATATATATTATCACATATACACATATAACTTATATATATTATATGTATGTACATATATACATGTATATGTAAATATATATATAAATTCTCCTTGCCTACTAGACTCCGTGTCCCCTGAGGCAGATGGCAGGTTCCACATCTTCCCCTCATCTTTGTATCATCCACACTTAGCACCTGCGCCCACCCAAGAAACACTTGTCACTAGAATAGGCAATATATTTTGAAAAGCACAAGATCAGTAATAGATAATGCAAAATAATAATAATAATAAACTTAGTTGCCACTTACTGAACAACCTCCAATTATCAGGCACTGTTCTAAGAACTTTACACTCTCTATTCTAATCCTATCTAAAACCCCATTTACGCCACAACATGAATGCATTTCATGCCACTGAACTGTACACCTAAAAATGGTTAAAATGGTCAATTTTATGTTATGGATATTTTACCACAATTTTTTAAAAACCCATTTAACAGATGAGGAAACTGAGGTTTAGGGAGATGGGGTTATTTATCTCAGGAGAGCTAAGTACTAAGGAGCAATGTAAACGCCTGTCCCTACAGCCCCAGGCCACTGCACAGCACCACCGCCTTTGAGCAATCCAGACTCCACTCCAGCCTAAGCCTTTCACTGTAGGCTCGCAAGCTGAGCCACTGAGGGCTCCTGCCATTCCCCACGCTGATTTCCATTTGAGCCTTCTAAATAGGTTGAGTGATTCACAGGCCCAGAGAACAGCCCAGCCCAGACGCAGCTGACGCTCTCTTTTGAACGCAGGCCCCAGAATAAGCCTATTCTGTAAAAGTTGTCCCTGAATGAATGGAATGTCATTGAAAGCAGCTGGTGTACAACCGCCCGCAGAAAACGCATTCTCGGGGCTCAGATTGCACTTAATTGCCCTGAATTCCACTTTCTTATCAGGGCCCCTGACTTGCTTGCAGGAAGTTGGTGGGAAACTTTATGAAGTGTGCCCTGTCAATCAGAAGAGGAATGGAATGGCTGCAGCCCTGGAATATCCCAAGAAGTCCCCGGGCTTAGTCCTCTCCGACGGCAGCTCAGGCAGGGACAGACACAGCACAGTGCGCGTCCCGGAAAAATACATTCCCTTCCCACCCCGCGAAGTCTGCAGAGTCTGGGACACCGTATGAGCTTGCAAATACACATGTGTGAGAGGCCCCTGCCGCCACCATGTGCAAATACACACACATATACACGCGCACACACACACACACACAATCGCACCGGGAGTTCTTCAAGTCTGGGCATCTTTGCTTTTCTTTGTGGCCGTTCTGGGGAGTGTGTTTATGTTACGGCCCACTCCCATCCTCACAGACTGATGTGTATCAGCCTCTCCCAGTAAAACTGTCACTGCCGCTGACATAAGATTAATAGAAATCTAGATTAGTCTATGTTCCTGGCACTTCAACAGTGCAGCAATAATATTGCTTAATATTAAAGCAATATTAATCAACACATACATACACACATAGTTCTCAAACCTTGAGCCCTAAACTTGGGCTGCAGCTCTAGGATTTAATGCCATATGGAGCTTAGATCAACCAAAAGAGGGGAAATGGCCACCAGTTATGAAACTTCTCAAAGCCTCAGTTTTCTCATCTGTAAAATGGAGATAGGAATAGTATCTACCCCACAGTGTCATGGTGAAGATTAGATGACATAAAGTATATAAACCGCTTAGCACAGTAATTGGCACAGAGTTGGAGCTCAAGAAATATTCACTTCCCACCACTAAATCCATATAGGTGACTTTATTAACTTCATGATACTCAAAACGAGACTGGTTTTCCATTTAAGGTAATGTAAGGTTTCTTTTTCAAATATAATTTTAAAAAGTGAATTGAAGTAAATAAAAAATATTAAGTAAAATAGCACAGAAGATAGTCGGAAAAGGCAAAAATCCATGAACAGAGTGAAAGAAAGCCAAAATGTGGGAAATATTGATTTAAAACAAAATAACCAAGTCCCAGAATTGGTTTTGATCTGAAAGAGCCCTGAGAGATGAGCTAATCCTGCCCCTCGCTCTGTAAGTGAAGGAACTGAAGGTTAGAGGACTTAAGAAGCTTTGCTGAAGGTCACAGAGATGAGAACAACTACGTAGGCATTAGGGTCTTCCCAACCTCGATGCTTTCTCTGTAACGGGACACAGTGGTCTATCGAGGGTGACGTTCCAGCAAGGAGGCAACTGGGCTTTGCTTTTTAAGTCATATTTCGCTGACACACTGGTAATCTCTGGAGAAAGGTAACTACTTTGCATTTTTGCTGGTGGTGGATTGTTCCCCTTCCCCGTATTAGTTCAGAACCACCCTTTGTTCCCACACTGGGCTATTCAGTTCAGCCTGGGCTCTGAAAAGAAATCTGGGAAGTCAACACTTATGTCCTTAATTGTTGGAGTTTTTGTTGTTAGCAAGCCTTTCTAGAGGTGTGCCCTGCTGGATGAAAATCAGAGTTAAAAAGATAAACTAGTAAGTGACTATTCACATTTCAAAAGGATTAACCTCACTACAACATGGATGAACCTTGAAGAGGTTCTGCTAAGTGAAACAAGCCAGACACAAAAGGATAAATATTACATGATTCCACTCATATGCAGTACCTAGAAGAGTCAAATTCATAGAGAGAGAAAGTAGAATGGTGGTTATCAGGGGCTGGGGAGAGGAGTTGTTTTTGAATGGGTACAGACTTTCAGTTTGGGAAGATACAAAAGTTCTAGAGATGGATGGTGGTGATGGTTGCACAACGATGTGAATGTACTCAGTGCCACTGAAACATACACCTAAAAATGGTAAATTTTATGTTATGCACATTTTACCACCATTATAAAAAAAAGGATTAACCTCAGATCATTGTGAATAATCAGTGTGAGCTCACCGGATGAAAAGGAAGTATCAGCTTGCTGATGATTAACGGCTGGGAAAGGATGCTGATGACAACGATAATACAAGCGATCCTCTGATGGTCATCTGCAATGTCTAAGAGGCAGTGCAGTGGACTGGACCGATCAGAGCTTTTGCAGCCAGAAGAACCTGGGGCTAACCTTGGCCTTGGTACCACTAGGTGATTGGTGGGACCTGTCAAGTCACTCAATTTCCTCATTTGCAAAATGGGAATGCTAACAGAACCCACCTCATAAAGGTGTGGATGTGAGGATTAAAGAACATGCATGTAGGGCCCCTGGAATAGTCCTGGTACTGCTGACTCTTTATAAATTACAGCTGTTATGATAATGTTGATGGTTTGGTTTATTTAACAATTATTTGCTAAGAGCCACTGCCCACCAGATTCAAGAGAAATGACCATCATCCCTTTCTGAAATAACCGTGTCCAGCACGAGAGGCTGCATGGCATGGCAGGAAAAGTTAAGAGATGTAGGGTTTGAGGGTTTGAGTTCAAATCCCGGCCTCACCTCTTACCAGGCCCAACCTCAGGCACGTTAGTTAACCCCTCCCTACTCCACTGAGGCCCGTGCAACAACAGCACCACCAGCCGGATCACATCAGAAACTGAGATCGCGGGCCCCACCCCAGGCCTGCTGAGTTAGAGTCTGCATTTTAACAACAACCCCAGGGGATCTGATGCACATTAGCCAATCTGAACCTGGGTTTCTGCTTCTGTAAAATAGGGGATGATGATAATAATGTAACCTACCTTGCAAGGTGATATGAAATCAAATGAATTGAGAGATGGAAAGTGCTTTTAAACCATGCCTCGCACATAGTAGGCCTTCAACAAATGTTAGCAATTTCTACTTTAACCTCTGAGTCTCAGTTTCCTTTGTTGGAAAATGGAATTGCAACAGCACCATTCACAACAGTGTTGTGAAAACCAAAATCAGGGCCGGCCCCGTGGCTTAGTGGTTAGGTGTGCGCGCTCCACTGCTGGCGGCCCGGGTTCGGATCCCAGGCGCGCACTGACGCACCACTTGTCCGGCCATGCTGAGGCTACGTCCCACATACAGCAACTAGAAGGATGTGCAACTATGACATACAGCTATCTACTGGGGCTTTGGGGGAAAAATAAATAAATAAATAAAATTATAAAAAAAAAAAAAGAAAACCAAAATCAGACTAAATGAGATGATAATAA